AATGAGAAAGCCAAATACCAATAAACTGACCAATGAGAATGTCTATCACATCACAGAAAGAACCAACAACTTGTGTGACATCACTACTTACGTTATTTGCTGAATTGACTGAGAGTTGCCCATGTATGGAATTTACTGTTTGCGACCTCTTGTCCAACAGGAGAACAAATTTTAAATTAACATAAATATTTTAAATATTCAAACTTGATGAAAAAATTAAAGTAAATTCTTTGCTCGCAAGATATTTTCATTGTATAAAAATGTGCTGATTTATAATTTCAAAAACTTTTTCTATTGTACTTATTCTGGACCTTGCAAAATGGTAGTAGCATCCACGTTTCATGTATATATATATATATTTGATGAGTTTGATCATTTTTCCCCAAATTGAGTTTTCAGTAGAAATGTAGTAAATATTAAGGGAAAACCACAAACCATAATACTTGTACCATGGACCATAACTATTGTAAAATAAAGTTGTTTTTTTTCCAAAATGTTGTGTTGATAGGCTGTACCGTATTTGCTCTACCAGAAGCATATATATTGACATCAACGTATTATGTAGCTGTGCTTTTACTGGACTGGCCAAGCTGTGGTAATTTTATAATTCTTTCTTAAATCTTGATCCCATGTGAAAGTTATCGTGTCTGGTCTATTCTGATGTGTACTAATCATATGCTGTGATGTTATGGAACCTGGCAGTGGAACACTTCCCAAAGTGGAAAGTAGGCATGTGCTTGCACAATAGATTTCTTTATGTCAGGCCACAGCTGCATTATAGTTGCATAGAACAGGTCAGACCAAAAGCTGGGCTAGTCAATGCATTTACTTGAGCTGATTCTTATGTCTGTTTGGATTTATGTTTTGACCTCTATGTGTTTGTGCGATCGGCGTCTCTACCTTTATTTCTCGAAAATGCCTGGTCCCATCACAATCAAACTTCACATATACTTCACATTTTTTGAGCGACATATGTACGTTTCATGATTTTGTGCTAAAAATTCCTCAAAATCAAGCATTTCTTCCATTATGGAACCGAATCTGTCGCGTATAGATTGATTTCATTCAAACGTAGTACATACTTTGAACCTTAATGCATGTAATTTTGTTTTTCAGATCAGATTTCATATGGTCGACTGGTGGTCATTTCTCTGACCTGTCACCAATCAAAATTTATATGTATATGTCATACATCATTTTGCATATATGCAAATGTATTCATTTGACAATTCAACCAGTTTTATAGTCATGTATGAATGTTTTGTTCAAACAGTGACAATATGGACCTCTGTGCCTGTTTGTTTTTCAGATCGAATTCAAAATGGCCAACTGGTGGCCATTTTGTTTTAGTTTCAGAGCCATATCTCAAGCATTACTGCAATTTTGGATCTGGATCTTGGTCATGCATAGACTTATTTTGTTCAAACTTGGTATTCACACTGACCTTAATGGGACTTTAATGCATGTCACTTTGTTTGTTGAATTGGACTCAAAATGGCTGACAGGTGGCCTTTTGTTTTTAGTAAATGTAGATTTGGAGCCATATCTTTGATTGCTCATATTCAAACTTTATCTATTTCTTAAACTTGAGAACTCACAGGAACTATGTAATGCAATTACCTGTTTGTTTTTGTATCCATGCTCATTTGTGAATCATGTGATTTGAAATGAGCATGGATACAAAAACAAAAAGGTAATTGCAGAAACTGTCAAGACAACAGCAAGACACCAAAGTGACATGATGCTGTGTTTCAAAAATTGTCAAAATAAATTATTTTAAGAGTTGCTCATGCTTCTATTGGAAAAGGACTTTTAGGAGAACATAATATAACTCATGAATGAAATGAAAATAGTTACTATCAATAATTTTAAAAAGAGGAAAAATTTTCAAATTAGTCATCCCAGAATTCTGACCCCTGGCTTTTTTACTAGAATTTACAATTTTCAACATCAGCAATATTTAAATTAGGAATACAATATGAATTCATAATTTCCGTCCTATATATCTGGCTAATAATTCAATAATTATTTACTGAGAATGTCATATATTAGAAAAGGAGTTTATTAAGATATACCCCCATTAATATGTATGGTTATCTGGACTGCTATATTGTCTATTTTTTACATAAAACAAAATGATGTGAATGCCTCAAGTGGTATAGCGCCCTCTAGCATCAGAGATTTCCTAAAAAATAAGAATTCCCATTGGGTACATCGTATCAGTCAGTTTGTCAAAACGCTTCATATTTTACCCTTTGATAACATTATATTGAATTCACAATTATCTATTGTATATTAATAATAGGTAAACATTTACCATCAAGAGGGTCTTCCTAAAAATGCTTGTATTTTAGTTCTAGTCATATGTTAACTGATTTTCAATTAAAATATTCAACAATGGATGGATGGATTTGAATCTGTGATCTCTAACTTAACTGTAAGTAGAAGATGCATATTCAATGAACCATGTGGGTCGTCACACAAATAATCATATGTTGTGTTACTTACATCTATTACATGTCAGTATTTGTGGAAAAATAAACAGACATAGATAGGATTTGAACCCAAGCCCTTATGATGACTAAAAACACTGACCCACATGGCTATGAGAAACCCCCCACCCAGTCATATTAATTGGTACAATTCATGTCGGGGTCAGACATTACTGTATTTTGAAATGATTGACAAATTTCCGATTCCCGGAAAATCATTGGAATTTGATCGATCATTACTTATTACCCAATTTCAAATTCGAACAAATATTTAATAATATTACATGCGTTGTTCACGTACGCGATATATGTCAGATAAGATCATGCTTTTAAGGATCATTTCTATAATATGTATCACGATTCCATCACTGAAAAGTGACGAGAAACGCAAACCACAATGATGAGTTACAGTGTTCTCTTCTGAGCGTGAAAACGACCTCTATTGTTGTTTCTATGACAACTGTTACTGGTCATTGATGAACGTACTTTTCTCAGTTAGTTGGGAGAAGAAGGGAACACATTCAGAGTGGTTTCTGTTTTTCAGACAAAGGGGGAATATAGGAGTGCTTATGTCAGCGCATTATTATCAAAAACACATCTTTGAATTATAATTTGTATTAAAATAATCGTTGTATTTTTTTCCTTTGTTGTGAATGGTATATCGTGTTACAAGAAATAGTGAAAGACGACGAGTTGTCACGTGCCAAGGAAAAGAAGATCTCCGTTGTCATTGGCAATAACGCACGGTCCCAGAATGCATCAGATATAAAAAGTGACCTTGATTCTTGTCCTTATATCAATCTGAAATAGCAACCAAAATAGGAAACTTCGCATGCGTATTTCATGAATAAATGTACTGTTCTTTTTATGATCATGAGAATATTTGAAAACAAAAAGAGTTGTTTGACCACAGGACACATTTAAATAATTTCGTTTATCATATATGCGTTGAATCCACTTCACGAAAACCACAATGATTGGTTGAATAAAAAAAAATCACTTCTTCAAATCATCAATTGGTTCGATAGAATAACAAACTTTAAATTCGCATGAAGTTTTTAAAATTATTCCTATTTATGAAACTGCGGTTGGGAGAAGAAGGGAACGCAGTCAGAGTGGTTTTTGAACTTATTTATTTCTCCTGATTTACGGAAGAAAATTTGAATCTAGCATTATGGTTTCAAGATAAATGTTGTACTGTTTTCGGATGTTTATGAGAATACTAGAAAGAAAAAAATATTTGCGATAGGACATGTTCAGTGTGGTTTCTTTTCTGAGAGAATGAGAATGTAAGATTATTTATTTCAGTACATTATATTGATAAAAACATGAATTGTAATTCATATCAAAATAATCCTTGCTTTTTTTTTCTTTTTTTGTGAATGATATATGGTATTGCAAGAAAGAAAGAAAGGCGATGGGTTACTACAAGTCACGTGTCAAGAAGGGGAAAATCTCTAATGAAAGGGAAAAACTTTAATGAAACTTTTGACAAAAATAGGAGACAACGTACACTTGAAAATCGCCATGGGAACAGGCAATGGTGAAATTTAACACAATATTCAGATATGAATACATGACTTTGATTCTTGTCAACACCAGTTCCCCTTTTTCTGAGATTTATAGTGTCAATTATGTTACTTCTAATAGATACACTAATACATTGTAGTAGCATATAAATTGATATGTCCGGTTGGCCGTGAAAAAGGAACTCTTTTTGTAAATTGGTGATCCGCGGTGGAAGGAGGGTGGCTGAATTGTGTCCGAATGTTGGCGACATACTCAAACTATCGCTGAAAAGTATTCGATTTGAAGGTTATATACGTGCGAGTTTACTTGGAATTATTTGACATCACTCAAAAATTATGGGAACCCTTCCTTCATATGAATGATTGCAAATATAAAGTACCAGTTATAGACAACTTTTTTCTTAACTCTGAATGATGTGATTGTCATGAATTAGTTTTCGCATATCTGTTGACCGACTTATTTAGTTGGTCACTAGTGAATGGCTGTTATATCTGTCATCATTTAGGCTCATGCGAGGTCCTGGACGGAACTTGACTCTGATTTGGAACTAATTACGATATAACCGTTGCCATCCGGACCGCTATTTCTGACATTTTGGTATTTGCAGTTATTAATATAGTGAACGATTAATCAAAAGATATGACGTGTCCAGTACTTAGTGTGATTGGCTATGTGCAAGTTGAATGTATGAAGGTTACGCCTTGTGTCTTTAAACTTCTTTGTAATTGGTTTTGATGCGTAATAAACGGTCTAAGTTCTTGGTCCCAGAGAGAGAGCTCCACGAGGCGAGAGAGTCTTGTCAGTCCAGGGCAGAGTCTCCAACGAGGCAGTTTGCCTTGAGGCGTTCTCGATGTGACTAAAGACTAGTTATACTACTTTTTGTCTCGTCCCCATTGTTTTATGTTTCTTACTTTCGTTAGCGGACAGTTTCAACCTAATTAATTATGCATTCTTGTTAACGGTACTGTTTTATCAATAGATTAACAAACCGGGACTGTTAATAATGAATGGGTTAATTTAAATATTCATGAGCACAACAGGAGTGAAAAGTTGATTAACATAACAGGTGGCCACTAAA